CTTGCCTCCAGAAATGAGTTAGGGAGAATTGCTTCCTTTTCAATTTCATTGAAGAGTTTGAGGAGGGTTGGTATTAAATCTTCTCTAAACTTCTTACAAAATTCTGCTGTGAATCCATTAGGGCCTGGGCTTTTCTTTGTCGGTAGGTTTTTAATCATGCTTTCAATCTCATTAGTTGATATTGGGTTGTTCAGGAATTTGATACCTTCTTGACTCAACCTTGGTTATTCGTACATATCTAGGAATCTGTCCGTTTCTTCTGAGTTTTCTATCCCATGGGAGTAAAGATTTTCAAAGTAGGTATTAATGATCTTCTGAATTTCTGTGGAATCTGTAGTAATGTCATCCTTTTCATTCCTTATTGCATGAATCTGAGTTCTTTCCTTCCTTTTCTTGATAAGATTGCCTAGGGGTTTTTCAATTTTGTTTATTCTTTCAAAGAACCAGCTCTTTGATTCATTTATTTTTTGGAGGGTTTTCTTTGTCTCAGTTGCATTAATTTCTGCCCTAATCTTTATAATCTCCTCCCTTCTTTGGGCTTTGGGAAAATTTTTTCTTACACTGTGGATTGTCTCTTCACTCCGTTGGTGGTTTCTCTTGCTGTGCAAAAGTTTTTTAAGAAGATCCTAGTTGATTTTTTGTGATATTTCCTGTGCAATTGAGGTTTTGTTAATAAAATCTTGGTCTATACCAATGTCTTCAAGAATTTTAGCTATTCTGTCTTCCAGTATATTTGGTGTTTCTGTTTTAATATTTATATCTTTGATCTATTTCAATTTTAGTTTACTTCATGGTGAAAAATAAGGGTCTAGTTTTAACCTTTTGCATGTGGGAAGTTTTCTAACATTACTTCTGTGAACAAGATTTTTATGTTATTTGTACTTTCTCCTGCTTTTTCATTGACTCTGAACAATCTTATGTTACTCTTCTTTGCATCATCTAGCACCTGTTGGATTGAATTTTCATAATCCCTTGCTTTTTCAAAGAAATCTTTCTTTTCATAATGGCTAATCACAATCCTATCACACGCCTGTAATCCTAGCACTCAGGAGGCTGAGGCAGGAGGATCTTTGCAAGTTTGAGGCCAGCCTGGGCTACAAAGTGAGCTCGAGGTCAGCCTGAACTACATAGTGAATGAGACTCTATCTCAAAAAAAAAATTCTGTCTTCTATTTTGGATATTCTTTTCACACATTGGCTCATTCTTCTATGTATACAGTCAAAGGAATTTTTAATCTCCTGGCTGTTTGAATCTGTTTCATGGATTCTGTTCCTTTCCTATGTTGAGCATTCATGGTTTCCATCATTTTACTAAGCTCCTCTATTTTTTTTTTTAAATCTGTATTTGCTCTTCAGTCACTAACCATGTCTTTCATTATGGTCACTGTCTCTGTAGTTATCTGAGAAATTATTTCTGATTTGATTTTTTTGAAAGCCTCATTCGTCTGCTTTGTTACTTCCACTCTTACCACTTAAGAGAATCCAGGCGGGAGTGGCCTTTGAATTGTTCCACCTCAATGCTCCCCGAGTTTGCCTTTGGTGAGCTGAAGTCTGGAGTTCTGTCTTGCTTAAGTGTCTTCTCATTTTCTAATTTTTTTTAGCTTAATCCCTAGCTTGATGATTATAAATTGCTTATAGCAGCTTTGTTGCTAGTATTTAGAGCTCTTAGGACATCACTACTTCTCAGAGGTGTCTTCCCAATGTAGCTGGCTTTGGGTTTTGAGTATGTTGCAAGATCCTCCCTCTTCAATTTATTGGGGATGAGAGGTTGTTGCCTACTTGGCCTAGTCCCTGATTCTTTGGTACTGGCCTGCAGCATTGTTTATGACCCTTAGGCAATCTCAGATTTGGCATACCAGGAAGAACAACTGACTAAAACAGTTCTATCACCTTGGCTAAAGTAGTAAAATCAGCAGCAACAGTAGCACCAAACAAAGCCTAGAAAATGACAAACTGTGGTAACTCTTAATATGCCACTTTTAACTGAATAAACTAGATTTGTGGTTATACAACAAAATCTAAATCAAACCAGAAAATTGTATACAGTAAATAAGCCCTCAGTATGGTGATTTAACCCTCAGGAGAGAAAGTTTAAAGGGGGTAGGAGGAAAAATAGAGAAATAGAAGAGGAAGTGATTAGAAGCAAGGCTGGATGATGAGTAGTACTCAAACTTTACAAAACTGGTGAAGAAGACAGGGAAGGAGAGAAGGATGAAATAAAAACAAAAACAGAACAACAACAAAAAACTAAAAACAGTGTTCACACTCAGAAAAACAAGAATAATCAACAAAAAATAAAAAACAAATACAAAAACAAAGCAAGAAAAGAAAAGAAAAAATACATCCACTTCAAGGGGTCTCTGCTGTCATTGGTGGACAGAGTGGGCAGATAGTCTAGATCCATGTTGATTAATCCCAGCAAACCAGCTGTAGATTTCAACAGGGTGGTAATGGATAATCTCAGCAAGCATGCACCTTTAGTTCCATTGAAGTTCAGGGTCATTTCTGGCTGTGACACTGGAATTTTATTTGTTCAGCCTGTAACATTCTGTGTGCCTCCTGCCAGCTTGAACTCAGTTCCGTCTCATCCCGACTCTGGAGCTGCTCAGTGGAGCCAGCCGGCACTGCTCTGAGTTTCAAGTTCAGCTGGCCTCTCTCCAAGACAACTACTGAGCAGTCTCTGTCTCATGGGGGGCATCTGAATCCAAATAACTCACCAGTCAGTGCAGTCTGCTGTGTCTACTGCTCTGTTCCACTGCTGTACTTCTGTAGGGAGGCATCTGGGGTCTTCTGTGGTCACCGTGCATCTGCAGGTTTGTGCCACCCCTCGTACACAGTGAGTCAGGGCTCAGGGAGAAGGCACCGCTTGCCTTTTCCTTCTACTGTGTTCAGGTCTCTTTCTTCACCCACCTAGTGGGCTTCAGTTTTCACTTCAGATCCTTGCTGTGTTCTGGGGACCCACTTCCCTCCTCCTTCTCTTCCTCATGGTGCTATATTCTAGCATCTCAGAGAGGTGCTCACCACTCTGCCATCTTTCTCTGCTGCTCACCACTCTGCCATCTTTCTGAAAAGTCAGTATTTCTATTAAGTAAATTCTTCAAGAAATTGTTGCATTTTTGTAACGTTAACTTCATTAAGCCCTCATTTTTCATCCATGTCTGTATTATCTTCATCCTCGTCCTGACTCTCATTGAATCATCTTCTCATATTCCAAATGCTACAGTGAAGCGGTGGTTATGGGAGCGTCTAGGAAATGAAACTGTGGAGCATCGTACATAGATAGGCCATGACTATTTGTAGCTCAAGGCTAATGAACCCTATTACCCCTACAATTTGGTAATAGGAGGCAGAAATGAAACTTTACAACAAGTTTGGTATATAGTATGAATTATAGAAGGCTTCAGAAATTAAGACATAAGTACCTTAAAAATATTTATACCCTTCAGTGATACACCTCCAGGAGCTACTATTGTCAGTGAAAGGTTAGAAAGACAGATTACTGTATTCAAGACATTTTACGCATTTTTGGCCTTGCCTGCTTTCTTATTTACTTAGCAATACTAGAGCCTGAACCGAGGGCCTTTGCATTGAGCTAAATAATCCTGTTTTCATTTTATCTTATGTATTTGTTTATTGTTCATTAGGTTTTGGTTCTTTGGGACAGTATCTCACTATGTAGCCCAAGTGCCCTTGAACTTGAAATATTCCTCCTGCCTTACCCTCCCAAGTGCTGGTGTTACACGTGTCTGCTACCATGCCTGACCTCAGTTTCTTTTTTTTTTTTTTTTTTTTCCAGAGACAAGGTCCCAAGTGCTGGGATTAGAGGTGCTACCACCACACCTCGCATGTAGTTTCCATTTTAAACAGTCTTTCCTGTCTGAGTTTTCCTTCTCACATGGTAAACATTCATGTGAGGAAGCATTGTATTACAAGTGTATTCTAAATCTTGATGCGATCAAAAGGATGCACTAAATTGGGCATGGTGGCACAGGCCTGTAATCCCAGCAGTCTGGGAGGTTAAAACAGGAGGATCACAAGTTCAAGTCCAGCCCAGGAAGTTTAGTGACTTAGTGATACCCTGTCTCAAAGTAAAAAATTTTAAAAGGACTGGTGATGTTGCTCTGTGTGAAGGCCCTGGGTTCAATCCCTTATATGGGGCAGTAGGGTGGGAACGTTGCACTACAGTAGGGACGGTGTTTTTAGACATTTTGAATTGTGGGGCAGATGAAGAGTAAATATAAGAGTGCAGTACAAATAAATGTTTGGTTTGGTAAAGAAGTAGTCTAAGAAAAGAAGAGAAGTAGAAAGGGCCATTCTCAAGAAAGAACTGAGCTCCATCTTCCCAAGTAGAATTATTGCAAGTGGAGAACATTTCAGCCCCGTGAAGCTGTCCTTATACTTTATAACACTCTTTCCTCTTTCCATGGGTAGTAATTCTGCATAGAGCTTATGGGTTATATGATACACATCGAGTCACTTCCCTCCTTTTTCTTAAGCCTGGAGAAAATGCACAAGGATTCCAGTACAGGTAAGGGATCTGCTGTCCCTGCCCTGCTTCAGAAGCCTTGTCTTCCTGCTGCATCCCGCACGGACCACATCTGGCACTATGATGAAGAATATCTTCCAGATGCCTCCAAACACGCCTCTGCCAACACCCCTGAGCAGGCAGATGGCGGGGGCAGCAATGGATTTATAGCTGTTAACCTGAGCTCTTGCAAACAAGAAGTTGACTCCAAAGAATGGGTGATTGTGGACAAGGAGCAAGACCTTCAGGATTTCAGGACAAATGAGGCTTTAGGTCACAAAACAACTGGAAGCCCTTCTGATGAGGAGCCAGAAGTGCTTCAAGTTCTTGAGGAATCACCTCAAGATGAAAGGCTCCAGTTGGGTTCTTGGGCTGGAAACAGTCATTTAAGGAAGGAACCTTCAGGTGTGGTCTTAGCACTGTCTGCAGAATGCCCTGCCGCAGCTCCTTCAGAACAGTACACAGACAGACTGGAGCTCCAGGCTGGAGCAACTAGTCAGTTCATTGCCGCGACACCCACAAGTCCTATGGAGGCACAAGCAGAAGGACCCCTGACAGCGGTAAGAGACTTGTTTCATTGTTATTCTGTTACTCACTCAAGATGCTGTTAACAAAAGCCTGATAATCAGTCAGCTAAGATTCTGTGATAGTGCTGAATTTGTCTAACAGATATAGTGATAATATAGTCAACCCTCCAATATGAAATGTTTGTGTATTTGGGGTTTTTTGTTGTTGTTGTTGTTGTTGTTGTTTTGAGACAAGGTCTCGCTGTGCAGTTCAGGCTGGCCTTAAACTATGTAGCCCAGACTGACCTCCAACTTGCAGCAATCCTCCTGCCTCAGCCGCCTTAGTGCTAGGATAACAGGCATGCACCACCACACCCAGCTATTTGTTTGTTATTGAGACGGGGTCACACTGTAGTGGAGGCTGGCCTTGAACTCACTTTTGTAGTCCAGGTTAGCCTTCAGCTCTTGGTGATCCTCCTGCTTTAGCCCCCTGAGTGCTGGGATTACAGGTATGTACCACCACACTCAGCATTCAATATGAAATTTTTTTAAAAGTATTTTTTGGTTTGGTTTGGTGTTTTTGAGACGGATTCACTATGTAATTCAGCCTGGCCTTGAACTCACTATGTATTCCAGGCTGGCTTCAAACTGCCTGCACCTCTGGAGTGCTGAGATTACAGTGGGCAGCACACATACAACTTTTTAGAAGGTTTTCCTTTTTTTTTTTAAGACAGGGTCTTACTCAGTTAATAATATCCCTTAGTTATTTTTTGTTTGTTTTGGTATCAGGAATTGAACTCAGGACCTTGCTTTTGCCAGGTAGGCACTATGCCGCTAAGCTACATCCCTGGCCCTATCCCCTTAGTTATTGCACGCTTATCAGGTCCAAAATCTCCCAAACAAGTGTATGGTGAAGGCTAAATAAAAAGAGGCAAATGGAATGGTTTCAGGGCTTCAGGAAGATCAGAGCCCCCTTGCAGAATTTGAGATTCTGTCAGGGCTAAGACCAAGACTTTCTCTGGGTGGACTATATTTATTTGGTTATCAGAAGAAGGGAGAAGAGTATTCAAGAAGGACGGAACCAACTCAAGGACTTCTCCAAGTGAGGTATTAAGTTAATCCACCTAGGAGTGAGATGCCTGATTAGTCTTTATCTAATTGAAGTTAGATCCAGGTGTCCTTGGCTGTGATCTTGGCTTATTCTTTGAGGCTTTCCAGCTTCATCCACCATTACAGGCCTTAGTAGGGATTAGTGACTCACAAAGGTTCGCTTACTGTGAGTCCACCACTCATCCCCAGACAAGGAGGCTAGGCCTTGGACAGACTCACAAGTGAACATGGAAAGTCAGCTGGTTAATTTAAGTCTTGCTCAGGCTCAGGGCTGCTTTGTAGTAGTCTCCATCAGGTTCTGACTGTGTAGTATAAGCTAGCCCTAGACTGTGTAGTCTAAGCTACTCACCATATAGCCAGGCTGGTCTCTCAAACTCCTGGTGATCCTTCTCCTGCCTCAGCCTCCCAAGTGCTGGAATTACAAGTGTGTACCACCATATCATCCTTTCATAATATCAAACTCAGGTCATAAAATAGCATTATAATTGAATTTTGGAATAACATGTATAATTAAGTCCCACAATTAAGTGTGTGTACATATGGTTTCTAAAATATTTATAATCCTAGAGCTTTTTATTATACCTTAGATGAGGACGGCCTATATTTAACCATTTGCAGTTTGTTCTTTATTCTGTCCACTGTTACTAGGCCTATGCCTACGTTTGTAATCTCCACCCAGAAATTTCTCCTGTTTACATCCTATTACAGTTTTTCATGAGTGTCCAGTGCGCAGTGGCTGCAAACACTGCTCAGTGGTGTATGTAGCCTGTTGCTTGTGCAGGTGCCCTAAGGGACCTTGGAGACGCTGCTTCCTGTGGATGTTCAGTATCTGACCTCCTGCCACCTCAAGTCTTAGTTCCAGCCAGGCATACACAGTGGCAAGAGTTCACATTGGATAGGTCATCCTGTCCATCCACACCAAGCTGCAGAACAGGAGCATGTGATCGAGGCCCTGCCTAGGCCAAGTTCAAGTTCCCTGGCCACCAGAAGATCCACATCTCCAAGAAGTAGGCCTTCTCATCCCTGATGGCTGCGGAGTGAAAGTGGCGGGCCTTGCACTCCTGAAGGCATCCACCATGCTGCCCCCCTCCTTAACAAGTTCATGAATAAATCTTATCTCTGCTCCCTCAATAAATAAATAAAAGTTTTTTGGGGCTTGGGATTTAGCTCAGCGGCAAAGCGCCTGCCTGGCAAGCGCAGGGTCGTGAGTTTAGTTCCTGGTACCGGAGAAAAACCAAAAAAAAAAAAAAAAAAAAAAAAAAATAGTTTTTCACCTTTACCTGTTTAAAATATAGCATTTCAGGCCAGAAGTGGTTTGCACACCTGTAATCCCAGCACTTAAGGCTGAGGCATGAGGATCATAGAGATTTCAAGGCCAGCCTGAACTATACAGGGAGACGCTGTCTCCAAAAAAAAAAAAGATACAGCATTTGAGTCCTCCCTTGCAGAACTGCTTCCGTAGGTCTGGGGTTGAGTGACTGCACTTGGACAGCAGATGCGGGCAGTGGTAATAACAGTCTCCCACAGAGGACCCCTCTGAGGAAACGCTGCTGCTTCTGCCTCGCTCTGCCGGCAGTAAGCAGAACCTTCTCACCTGGTGATGGGGAGCTGGGAGAGCCTCAGAAAGGCCAGGGATGGCCAGCAAAGCCCGAAAGAGTCTCCAGGCAGTAAGAAGCCCTGGCAGTCCCTCGGTCCTGCATGGATGGTGGTTACCAAATGTCCCAGCCATCAGATGGCCCTTCCTTCTGACTCACCAGAACAGCAGGATCATCCAGCCTGAGACATTTTCTAAGGGAACACAGTTTCACATGCAGCTGCAAAACAGTAGGAAAGGTTATGGATGAAGCTTCACTTATGTACTTTTCTGGAGGAATTTGCCTGTGTTTCAAAAGCGGGAAGTAAGTATCTACTTACTTCTTTAGCTAGAACTTTGCTAGTTTGTTTTTCTCTTTCTCAGGACTGCCTTATACAGTTGTGCAGGTGATTTATACTATAGACTAGTCAAGGGGGCTGAAATATAGTCCAAGTTGTGACTTGCTTATGATTTTTAGTACCTTGCAAAATTGTGCAAACCCCCTTAAAAACAAGGAAAGGGAAAAAAATAAGTTTTTACTTTTTGTTTGATTCAACCTCGAAGCTTTAGATTTTTAGTGTTACCCACCTTTGTAGCAAAGACTACTGCCTTCCCCATTCTCTGCTTTCTCCACGGCTCCAGTTCTAGCATGTGGGCAGCTGAGGTGAGAGGAGCATGAATTCTTTTTTTTTTTTTTTGGTTTTTCTCCGGTACCGGGAACCGAACTCACGACCTTGCGCTTGCCAGGCAGGCGCTTTGCCGCTGAGCTAAATCCCCAGCCCCTTTTTTTTTTTTAAAGACGGTCTTGCTTTGTAGTTCAAGCAGCCCTGAGCTCTCTATGAAGTCTAGGCTGGCCTCAAAATCACAGTGCTCCTCCTTCCTCAGCCTCCCCAAGTGCTGGTATTACAGGTGTGTGCCACCACACCTGGCAGGAACATGAATTTGAGGCCAGTTTGAGCTACATAGTGAGACTTTCTCTCAAGAAGAGCAAAAATAAAACCAAAAAAAGAAAATGCCTGTAGCACAGTTTGAATGGCCCAAGAAATTTGAATAATTAAAAGGAATTTGTTTCTATAGCTCAGCTAATTCTTGGCTGTGTTGGAAACCAAGAAATTACTCTATTCCCTGTATCTCTTCTAAATTATTTTCTTTGTCCATAAAGACAATGTGAGATGTAGGTATTTTGTATACCACATGCCTTTCATTTGTAAGAAGACCTATTGGTGTGAATGTTAAATTTCTCTAAGTTTTTATCCTAGTACCATTACAATCCTTACAAAAGAGACAAAAGGAAAATTTTTTTCAGAGACATGAAGTAGAAAGGGGATATTAGGGAAAGGGTAAGTGGCACACACCTGTAATCCATTACTTGGGAGGCTGAAGCAGGAGGACTGCAAATTTGAGGCCTGCCTATCTACATAGTGAGGCTTTGTCTCAAAATATATATCTATATATAGATATAGGTTTGTATATATAAAATATAAGGAAATTATGAAGTCAATTTTTTAAAATGATTTAAGAATATTTTATAAATTTATGTGGAAATAGATTAGTTTATGCAGGTTATCATAATTGCTCAATTTTTTCAAGAAAATTCTCTTGTGTGCGTATATATGTACAGTACATTTATTTGTTTGGTTTTACTAGAGATTTACTCAGGGGTCTTCACATAAACTACCTCCCTGGACTTTTTTTTAAAGTTTTGATATAAAGGCTCCCTAAGTTGCCTAGGCTGGCCTTGAACTTTCAGTCCTCCTGCCTCAGCCTTGCAGAATGCTGGGGTTATAGTCATGCCACCACATTTGGTTTATGTTTTTGGCATATAAGGTTGTCATTCCTTTTTTTTTTTTTTTTTTTTTTTTTTTTTTTTTTTTTTTTTTTTTTTTTTTGAGATAGGCTGTTGCTGTGCAGCCCAGGCTGGCCTCAAGTTCATGGCAGTCCTCCTGCCTCGGCCTCCCAAGTACTAAGGTTACAGGTGGGCTCCACCACACCTGGCTTATAATTCCTTTTTTTAATACTGTGCATGCAGATATATTTATATTCTAATCTAAAATGAGCTAATCTCAGAGTTAGAGAAATTAATTTTAGCTTCAGTCTCAGAAGACCAGTGGAGTATTCCTCTTACAAACACTATTGAGACTGGGCAGGATGGTGCATTGCTGTAATCCCAGTACTCAGGAGGCTGAGACAGGAGAATCACTGCAAGTTTGAAGCCAACCTGGTCTACAAAGGAGTTCAAGGTCAGCCTGAACTGCATAGCGAGACCCTTTCTTAAAAAAACAAAACAAACAAAAAATCCAACATTGTTGAGTTCATTTGGACAGATGGTATATTCTAAGGGATTTGGAGAGTTTGATGAAAGGAACTTTTCACAAATGTCAAGTTTTTGTTTGTTTTCTTTTTGAGACAGAGTCTTGCTTTGCAGTTCAGGCTGTCCTTGAGCTTACTTTATAGCTTAGGGTGGCCTCAGACTCAAAATGATCCTCCTGCCTCAGCCTCCTGAGCGCTGGAATTACAGACATGCACCATCATGCTTAACAGATGTAGAGTTAGAATTAGAGTCAACAGGGCCAGCAGTAGGAGATCCATTCCTAATGTGAGTCCTGCGGGGGGAAAAAGCGTTGTTAGCAGAACCCAGAGAGTTAACATCTGTGAGGAAGGGGCCATGTTCCAGGATCTGGGGCCATGGTGGTAGAATGTGACCCCCACCACAACAGAGGAAGCGGAGCCCGGGCACCTGTCCTCTCTACTCCAGCCCACTGATTTGCTGCCCCCCACTTAGCAGACCCAGCCAAAATGAGAAAGTGCAAGAACTCAGGTGGTGCATTCTGGAGACTCAATCTTCCGGGGCATGGAGGATGCTCATGAAAGGGCAGAGCCGCTCTGCATGGCTCCTGAGTTAGGGGGTCAGGAGTGTCACTCATCTTTACTCAGGGTTGCCCCTATTTTTTTTTTGTTGTTGTTGGTTGGGGTTTGTTTGTTTTGTCTTTTTGAGGCAGAGTTTCACTATGTGGTCCAGCCTAACCTTAACCTCACGGCAGTCCTCCTACTACAGCCTCCGAAATTCTAGGATGACGATAGTGTAACCACCTTAGCCTATAATTGCTTATTTTTAAAATGAATTGGGTTGACCCAGTCAGCATCTGAGTTCCTGTCATAAGTCGGAGTTGAAGTGTTAAATCTGAACTCTTTTATCTTGATTGATAGTTCACAAACTATGTTTGCGTTTTTTTCTCCCCTGTCCAGATTACAATTCCTAGACCTTCTGTGGCATCAACACAGTCAACCTCAGGAAGCTTTCACTGTGGTCAGCATCTGGAGAAGAAAGATCTGCAGCCCGTGGAGCCCACTGTGGAGCTTTACTCTCCCCGGGAGAACTTCTCTGGCTTGGCCGGGACAGAGGGGGAGGGGCTTCAGGCAGATCCCGTGGGCCAAGACCCTTTGCCCCAGGTTAGGGAGAGTGACAGACACCAGGAACTGGGACCAAAAGACCTTCCTCATGATAACGGACTAGTCGTGAGGGAATTTGGGGGGTTCTCTGTGGAAATTCAGGAGAAAAGCATGCTGCTAGGGTCGGATAATGAGGACGAGAAGTTAAGTAAAGAACAGTATTGTGTTGAGCTCTCTCTCCGAGCAGATCTGGGGACTGAGGAAAAGGACCCTTCCGCTGCTACTGAGCCTCTTGATGTGACCAAGACGCAGCCTTCCAGTGTGGTGCCAAGTCAGGGCAGAAATTCTGAGCTCATGCAGCTCCTGGCAGCTGGAACTTCCGATTTTTCTCCAAGAGTCATTGACCCACATGTTGAAGGACAGCTAGGCCAGGTGGCGGCAACACAGAAAAGCAGGCTGTCTCAGGACGATGCCGTGCAGATGGAAGGCCTTCCGGAGCATCCAGGGGGCCTGTCTGCTTTGCTGTGCCAAGAGGATAAAGGAGAGAAAAGTGCCCCAAGAAACGGAGAGCGGATTCATCGCGTTTCGGAGAACGAGCGTGCTCCCCCCGCCCGGAAGGACGCAGGCAGGTCGGCCCTCGTCACCAGACACAGCCGGATCCCCGTTCTGGCACAGGAGATCGAGTCCGTGTTCGAGGCCTCCTCGCCCGTTTCTGCGAAGGAGAAGCTGCTGCAGAAGAAAGCGTACCAGCCCGACCTGGTGAGACTGCTGGTGGAGAAAAGGCAGTTCAGGTCCTTCCTCGGCGACCTCTCAAGTGCCTCCAATAAGCTGCTGGAGGAGAAGCTGGCTGCTGTCCCCGTGCCCTTCTCCGAGGAGGACGTCTTCATGCCCTTCTCCAGACTGGCAGTAGACCCTCCCCTGAGCAGGTCAGCGGAAGATAGCTTTCTGTCACCCGTCATCTCACAATCTAGAAAGAGCAAGATCCCAAGGCCCGTCTCGTGGGTCAGCACAGATCAGGTCGGCAGCTCGCCCTCGTCGCAGTTCTTGCCTCGGCCACCGCCCGGGAAGCCACCTGCAAGGCCTGGAGTGGAAGCCAGGTATGCTGTCTGCACTGCTGGGTCAAGTTCCTCGCCTTTTTTATAGTAGTGCTGGGAGAAGCGTTTCTTTTTGCCTGCTTTTGAGCATCTGCTTTCTTTTCTACCTTTCACAGGCTTATTAGTACAGTATAGATTGATCTATTTAATTCTTTTTTCCCAATTTTTAAAATTGTGGTGTAGGGTATAGTAAATATAAAATTTAACCATCATTTTGTTTAGTTCTTTTTGGAAATTGTTTTTGAAACAAGGCCTTGCTATGTAATGCAGGCTGGCCTTAAACTCACTATGTAGCCCAGGCTGGCTTTGAACTCATGGCAAGCCTCCTGCCTCAGCCTGCCAGGTGCTGGGATTATAGGTGTATGGTACCATGCCTGGCCAAAATTTACCATTTTAACCAGTGGTATTAAATCTGTTCCTTTTGTCATGCAATTGTTACCACTGTCCATTCCTAGGCAACTCTTTATCATAAAACTGAAACTATACCCATGAAACAATAAACCCCAACCTGGCAGTCATTAGTCTCCTTTCTTTCTGATTTTTTTGTTTGTTTGTTTGTTTGTTTGTTTTTTTTTGGTTTTTTTGGTTTTTCTCCGGTACCGGGAACCGAACTCACAACCTTGCGCTTGCCAGGCAGGCGCTTTGCCGCTGAGCTAAATCCCCAGCCCTCTTTCTGATTTTGATTACTGTCAGGAACTCATATGAGAAGAATCGTACAGTGTTTGTCGTGGCTCAGCATAAAATCTTTAGCAGTCACCATGCTGTAGTGTATGCCAGAATTTCCTTATCTCTCAAGGCTGACAGATAGGGCAACTTGTGTCCTTTGCTCCTTGTTTCCTGTGTACATTTTATAGCTTTTTGTCCCTTGTTTCTTTCATCACTGTCTTCAGTTTTTATTATTTACTTGGGTTTTTTGAGGCAAAGTCTCACTGTGTAGTTCAAGCTGGCCTTGAGCTCATTTTGTAGCCCAGCCAGGCCTTGAACTCACAGTGGTCCTCCTGCCTCAGCCTCCAGAGGGCTGGGATTACATTACCCTCCCTCTTACAGGCATGCGCCACCACGCCCAACAGTTTTCAGTATTTAGTTGAATTTTTTTTTTGTAGTGAAACTCTTTCCTTCCTTCTTCCCTTCCTTCCTTCCTTCCTTCCTTCCTTCCTTCCTTCCTTCCTTCCTTCCTTCCTTCTTTCCTTCCTTCCTTCCTGCCTTCCTTCCTTCCTTCCTTCCTTCCTTCCTTCCTTCCTTCCTTCCTTCCTTCCTTCCTTCTTTCCTTCCTTCCTTCCTTCTCTCCTTCCTTCCTTCCTTCTTTCCTTCCTTCCTTCTTTCCTTCCTTCCTTCCTTCCTTCTTTCCCTCCTTCCTTCCTTCCTTCCCTCCTTCCTTCTTTCCTTCCTTCTTTCCTTCCTTCCTTCCTTTCTTCCTTCTTCCTTCCTTCCTTTCTTCCTTCTTTCCTTCCTTCCTTCTTTCCTTCCTTCCTTTCTTCCTTCTTTCCTTTCTTCCTTCCCTCCCTCCTTCCTTCCTTCCCTCCCTCCTTCCTTCCTTCCTTCCTTTCTTCCTTCTTTCCTTCCTTCCTTCCTTCTCTCCTTCCTTCCTTCCTTCCTTCCTTTCTTCCTTCCTTCCTTCCTTCCCTCCTTCCTTCCTTCTCTCCTTCCTTCCTTCCTTCCTTCTCTTCCTTCCTTCCTTCTTTCCTTCCTTCCTTCCTTCTTTCCCTTCTTTCCTTCCTTCCTTCCTTCTTTCCTTCTTTCCCTCCTTCCTTCCTTCTTTCTTTCCTTCCTTCCTTCCTTCCTTCCTTCCTTCCTTCCTTCCTTCCTTCCTTCCCTCTTTCCCTCCTTCCCTCCTTCCATACCAGGAATCAAACTCAGGGCCTCATGCTTGCCAGTCAAGGGCTGTGCCACTGAGCTATATCCCCTGCCCTGAAATACTTAAATTGTTTCTCTTTTCCTATTGCTGTCTTCTTTTTGGATACCATGGGATTATGTTTACTATCCTCTAGTTGTAACACTTTAATTTGGATTTATACCAGTTTAATTTAAGTACATATAAAAATTCTGCTCTTAAGAAAATTCTGCTCTTTTAAATCTCTATCCCCATTCCCCTCAGTTGTTAATAAGATTACATCTTTATACATTGTGTATCCAAAAACATAAGTTTTCCAGCACTCGGGAGGCTGAGGTAGGAGGACTGCTGTGAGTTTGAAGCCAGCCTGAGTAGTGAGTGAGTTCAAGGCCAGCCTGGGCTATGTAGCAAGAGCCTGTCTCAAAAAAACAAAACAAAAAACAGAAAGCATAAGTTTATAATTATAAATACATTAATCTCGCTGGGTGAGGTGGTGCACGCCTGTAATCCCAGCACTTGGGAGGCTGAGGCAGGAGGACTGTTGCCAGTTCGAGACCAGCCTGGGCTACAAAGTGAGCTCAAGGCCAGCCTGAGCTGCATATTGAGACCCTCTCTCAAAAAAAAGACAAAAAAAGAATTACATTAATTTCTTCAATTATGTAGAAAACAAGAAGTGGAGTTACAGACCAAAATTAAAATACTACTACTTCTAGACTAATTGATTCGTTATATAAAGTGTCTAATCATGCAGAAAATAAAGAGTTACAAGCCATTGTTGCAATACTAGCTTTTTAAATTGGTCATGTGTGTGCCTTTGTTGAGATTTTTATTTTATTTGATGAGTCTGAGTTACTCTCTAGTGTCCTTTCACTTCAGTCACAGAACTCCCTCTAGCATTTCTTGCAGAACTGATGTGGTAATTAACTACCTCAGCTTTATTATTATTTTTTATATTTTCTATAGTGCTAGGGCTCATATTCAGGGATTTGTGCATAGAATGTGCTCTACCAGTGAGCTATGCTGCTAACTTCTTTTTTTTTTTTTTTTTTTTTTGGTTTTTCTCCGGTACCGGGAACCGAACTCACGACCTTGTACTTGCCAGGCAGGCGCTTTGCCGCTGAGCTAAATCCCCAGCCCCGCTGCTAACTTCTTTATCAGCTCTTGTCTAAGAGTACCTTTATTTATTCTTCACTTTTTTTTTTTGAGACAGGGGCTCACTATATAATTCATGCTGGCCTTGAACGTGATCACTGTGGAACCCAGGCCAGCCTCAAACTTGCAGGAATCCTCCTGCCTCAGCCTCCCAAGTACAGGGATTATAGGCAGGTGCCACCAGGCACAGCTATCTTTTACTTTTAAGGGACACTTGGGGTTTGTTTTTGTTGTTGTTTTTTGAGACTGGGTCTTGCTGTGTAGTTTAGGCTGGCCTTGAACTGGCAGGAACCCCTGCTTCCACCTACGGAGTTCTGGGATTACAATCGTGCACCCCCATGCCCAGCCCATTTAGTTACTTCTGTGTGGCTGACCTGCATCTGGGTACTTGTGTTATTTCACTTGATCTGCTCATTGATGCTATGAGGTAGTCCAGGTCCTTCCTCGTGAAATGCTTAGAGGTTTGTGGTCATGGTCATACAGCTAGTACGCCACAGAGTAACTGAATCCTGTGAGTGTATTTTCTGATTTTGACACACATTGTATGTACTGTGACTTGGCACATGGTGACTTCTAGGCACATTTGGAATGAATTAAAATGGAAATAATTCTTTTCTGTTCTTTTAAGGCTACGCAGATACAGAGTCCTAGGGAGCAGTAACTCTGACTCAGACCTTTTCTCCCGCCTGGCTCAAATTCTTCAGAATGGATCTCAGAAGCCCCGGAGCATCACTCAGTGCAAGAGCCCAGGATCTCCACACAGTCCCAAAACACCACCCAAGAGTCCAGTTGTCCCTCGAAGGAGCCCCAGCGCCTCTCCTCGGAGCTCATCCTTGCCTCGCACGTCCAGCTCCTCACCATCCAGGGCTGGGCGGCCCCACCACGAGCAGAGGAGTTCATCCCCACACCTGGGGAGAAGCAAGTCCCCTCCTAGCCACTCAGGGTCCTCCTCCTCCAGGAGGTCCTGCCAACAAGAGCACTGCAAACCCAGCAGGAGCGGGCCCAAAGGGTCTGGCAGCCTCCACCACCACCCGGCCAGCTCGAAAGCGCCCCCAGGGAAGAGCAAGCCAGCCAATAAACTCAGCAGATAGGAGCTGGACACCACCACTTCCTCCTGACCCGATGCATGTGTGTCCCTGTACTGTCTATTTTTTAAAAATCAATATTGCTCTTCCCTTACAAAAGAAAGGAACATGATCAGTTATTTATAAGCAGATATAATGTATGGTAAAGCATTACATAAGACAGGTAGCAAGCAATAGGAATCAACACCTTGGCATAGGAAGAGACAATTCAGCAAAATACATGGGGGAGAAACTCATAAGGAAGCTGTCTTTTTTAAGCTGCCCTTGAAACAAAAGAGGGTAGGAGGCAGAATGGAATTTTAAGAGATTCATCTAATTTTTTAAGCCTTTAAAATTATATACCAGGTGTTTGATATTTTCATTCATACTTTCCCAGTCTTGGAGTCATTGCTTAGACATCAGAGTATATAAGAAGCTGGGCGTGGTGGCGCTCGCCTGTAATCCCAGCACTTGGGAGGCTGAGGCAGGAGGATTGCTGCAAGTTGGAGGCCAGTCTGGGCTACATAGTTTAAGGCCAGCCTGAACTGCATAGCAAGACCCTGTCTCAAAGAAACAAAAATAAAAAGCCAACCACCACAAAAAACAGAACAGAGTATGTAGGAAGCCTGTTGTGAAGGAACCAGTACTCCTGTATTTGGTTTACAGAGTTGTTTACTGTATTGAGAATCCACACTTTACTTTGCCTCACCCCAGAACATCCTCCTTGGATTTTACTTTTTTTTTTTTAAGTCAAGAATTAACTTAGATAGAAACATTTTCTATCTAACCCAGTCTCTTATTTTTACAATATATCCTGGTAGGTATTTAGCAGCACATGCTAAGAACTTCAGATGCAGTTACCTTTTTTTAGTCCCCTAATATTTTTCTTTGGAGCAACAGTTGTTAACCCACTACATTTTTATTGTGAAAAATAACTGAGAAACTTAGGTAAAGGACAGAAAAGCCTGACTACAGCTATGTTGCAGGCATTATTGACCAGAGAGGACACAAGGAACATAGCCTTCAAGACAGAAGAACCCGTTGGCACCGTGTTCCGCTCCTGCTGGTAAAGGGGAACCTCGGGCGTGGGGGCAGCTGCGTCCCAGCTCTTTCTGTTACCGAATCCAAGATGATACTAGAGAAGCACACCACTTGCAAATACGACTATGCTTTTAGAGATTTAGAAAGAAAAACAGGAAGACATTAAGTATGGTACAGAGGTTAATAAACTATGTTTTAGACATTTAGCCAATAAGGAATGAATATCTGGGGAAATAAATTTAGGCTAAATGTTTTTTGATGTTTCATTCTGCTGCTTCTGTGCTTTAGTTCAATAGTTGGGCTTCTTGGCCTGATTTCTGTGTAGTCTCAATTTACGAAGCTGTAAGGGTATCGTCTGTTCTAACTTCACTCTTCTGCTAACAGGAATCAGGCAAAATTAAAGTATACAGGTTTTGTAAATGGGCTCTTGTATACTCTGTCGGTGTTTTGTGTTGTAAAGACCTTGTTAAGGTCAGGTAAATTGGTCTGCCTGCTGTTGAAATTTGCCTTCTAGCAAACATCTGTGCTTTCTCTTTGACCTTGTGTTTGCTGCCAAACGTAATACAGTTGAATTGGAAAAGACAGAAAGATACTTCCTCACTAAGTGAACATACTCTAATGCTGCATCACGCCTGCCCTGAAGCTGCACCGAACTTTCTGTGTTGAGCTTTTTAACAAACTCAGAACACTATATTGAGGCATATAAGGTCTCCCATAAGAAATGTAGCATAGTTGGAACCTTATTTTCTCTCTAGTCTCAAGCACTACAGAGGAATGTAGTAGATAAGACATTTTTGCTGTTTATCTCAAGCAACTGTAATACTGGAAGACCGGCCCTTCTGTATTTTGTTGTATAATAGTTGCCATAACACTACTTGCATGTCTTCATGGTAAAGTGTATAAATATTTATAAATACATAGAGATATGCTTATATAAACTCATTCTTTCTCATTCCCCATTTGTAATTTCAAGATCACATAGGGTGAAATTCCGTTTTTATTGTGTGCCTCAGTACACTTAGGCTTTGCCTGTCTTTACTTTCCGAAAACATGTTCTTGGCCCATGCGACCTGAGACTCTTCTTGCTTCCCCTGTGTCGAATGCAAGGGTTGGCAGTTTCTAACAAGCCAAGATAGAATATTTAATTTTTACTTTAAAGAGGTTTTAATGGGGGAAATTATTGGGACATGCTTGTAATACTCAAAGATTTGTCCATGTTAAATCGCCTAGCTCTGTTCTTACAGTTAGAATAGATAGATGGGGATTATAACCATGGGTCTGGTGGAAAATTGTTTTAAAAACATTTCCTAAAAGTTGCCATTCTACTTTGCTCTTTTCTACTTTCGGCGGGGGGCGCACGGGTGGGATAGGGGTTAAATAAGACTCCCTTCTTTCCTTCCTTCCTCCCCCTCCCTTCCTTCTCTCTCTGTCTCTTTTTTCTTTCTCGTTGCTTTAACTAAATTGTGATAACAATAGCCAGCTTAAATACTGACCCCTCTAGTCAGAAATGCGCTAATAGTAGCCGCTGGAAGAGCTGAAGTCGCTTTCTGTGTGTCACTTGCTTTCTGACCGGCATTTGTCTGCTGGTAGCCACAACTGACTGTGATGGCAACTGAGGTTTTCTGTCTTTTTTGGTCCTGGTATTTTTCTCCCAGCCTTTCCCACGTTGTCTCCTTTTCTAAGTAGCATTAACACACTCATCAAGATCCAGAGATAAAAACCTCATTGTGTAAAATGTTTTATTTTGCATGTAGAAGAAAGAGTTAACCAAAGATGTTTCTGCTCTGACACTCTCAAAACAGACTAAGTACAGCGTATGTATCACTAGTCCATTTAGAAATACTATCCTTATCCAGAGAAATTTACTTTTGATTTTAGATGTCAGATGTCTCTCAGGTTAAAAATAGAAGTTGGTAACTCTCAGCCAGCACTTTTGACAAGGATTTTATTTTTATTTCAAAGTACTTTACAGAGAACAGTTTTGTTTTTGCTTTCAGTTCTTTGTTTATTTTTGGGTTTTTTTTTTAGTGATAGTATAGTTCGGGTTTCAGCCACAGATCATCCAAGTAATTTTAAACCTGTATGGTTATTTTACTTCAGATGAGAACATGGCCACTAACTAAAATCAAACCAAATTACACTAAAAGTAGTATGGGGCAGAAATTAAAATTAGCTGGGGAGATAGCCCAGTGACATAAGTGCCTGCCTGGCAAGTGCAAGGTCCTGCGTTCGAGTCCCAGTACAAAAAAAAAGTTAAAATTGGCTTTTGACTCCTGGTATTTCGTATCATAACAGAGGGTGGGTTACCAAGTCCCACTCGCCCTTACCTTCTCTCTAATCTCAGAGATTACTTGGGAAGGACAGAAGATAGAAGTAGCAGCAGCTCAGACACCTTGGGGCATACCCTGTGATCCCAGCACTCAGGAGGCAGAGGTGGGGGGCACTGCTGTGAGTCCAAGACCAACCCGGGCTACATAGTGAGTTCAAGGCCAGCTTGAACTGCACAGCGAGACCCTGTCTCAAAAGCAACAACAAAAAGAAGTAGCAGCTCAATCCCTTTTCTTCTGGATTCAGCTGACAGCCCTTCAGGGTCTTTGAATTAATTGAAATGCTAAGCTCCACCTAGTAATCTTGCATGGTTTAAAGGCATTTGACTGTAGTGGATGATTTAAGAAGGAAAATGGATCATATCAAATTCAACGTGAAGACAATTGGAAAGCATCTCTGAATGTAACGCATAGGCAGACGGCACTCTCATTCCCAGCTCCGGTATGCAAGCTGACCTTGCCGACAGTGGCGCAGATATTTACTGATTTTTAAGTTGCACGTTTCATAGTGAAGGTTTTTCTGTAAAGTTGTCAATTGAATCAAGTCTCGAGCAGCAGAATGGTAATTGAGGTCCGCTGTGGTCCTGATCAGCTTCCGTGACTGCTTCAGCGAACTGAGCTGCTGCTCCCTGCGGTGTTCCACAGGGCGGCTCAGTCTCCATCCTGTGGCTATGGAACCTGGGTTTCTGGTCGGCAGCAGAGGTACCTGCCAGGCCACAGATTCTGTGCTGACGTTTGTATTGTTGCCCCCTCTCTGCAAGGAAAGAGTGTACGTTGGTGCATGTTTTATAAACCCAGACACAGACAGTTAAAACTGTAATTAGTTTTTCTGTACCCAGTAGCTTTGTATTAAAAACAGGTGCTTTTTTCCAAGAGCAGACAATTTTATATTCCTAATCTAACATTAGGAATCGGAGAGAGGAGAAACAAGATCTACAATTAAGAATTTTATGGTTTAGGGGCTGGGGATTTAGCTCAGCGGCAGAAGCGCCTGCCTGGCAAGCGCAAGGTCGTGAGTTTGGTTCCCGGTACCGGAGAAAAACCAAAAAAAACCAAACAAACAAAAAAAGAATTTTATGGTTTAGGGGAAAAAATGCATCTTGCTCTGGCTATTACAAAATACATTTACAAAATACATTTACCTGTAGATAATGTAGATTTGGCCTTGGAGATCAAAGTGCTTCATAATTTTAAAAGGTTTTCATTGCTTTTTCTCTGTCAAAACATGGCCGTAGAGAATTTCTTCTGTTGTGTTCATGTACTGTGGCATTAGCTGTTTCCATTCAGTCTTTTTAAACTGCCTTTTTCCGGTTCTGTGCATTTTATCTCCGGTGTGTCTGGGCTTTGCTTATGAGGAGAAAAGGGTTAGTAACTGTCACTGAAGAGACAGGAATGGTTGACACAACTGCACTGTTGAGCTTTTTGAGTCATTCTGTAGACAATATGATTACCCCATGTCTATGATTTAGTAGAAAAGGTAGGGGGTTAAGGCGTGTAAGCCCTATGGCAGCCCTGCCCTTAGTACACCCCGCGTTCCAGCAACCACTGGCCCCTATTCAGACCCTAACTCAGCAGGGAGCTAGAGGCACTTCTCGCCTTCAGGCTGTACGGGAGATAGTGCCTGGAGAGCCCCAGGGGATTGTCAGAATAGCTCAGTTCCTGTCCTCTCCAAGTAAGACTTCGCTGTGTACTGTGAGGATGTGTAGTAGAGTGGAAACTCATAGTATTCGGTCTTCATATCTTGGTTATTCCTCTGGAACTAGAGAAATTTAACCCAGAAAGTCTTGGGGGCTTTTGGAGTCGGTTGCTCAGCATTGCTGGTGAGAACTGCAGGAGGCATATTCCTGGGGAACTCCAGGACGTGGGACGAGGATCCTTGTTCGTTAGGGGGTGGATCTGGATGCTGCACATTTGAACCCCAGAGAAGTCCCCAACCAGACATGGCTCGTCAAGACATTTTGCAACTGAGTTGTGATGGTCTGCTCTTTTGAAAATTTGTAAACTTGCTGTTTAGTTACTCCCTTTAAGTAAAGTTGGCTCAGAAAATGACCATATGTACCTGGATCAGGAGCACCGTGAGGTTCCATATAATGGTGGGATGCTGAATGGCAGAGATGTAACATTTACTCAGTAAGGGTCTGAGCATTTGCTTACCTCAGTTGGCTCCTGAGTTACAGAGACACAGGGCACCCGTGTCCTGTGCAGCCTCACAGGCTGCTGCTTTAATTGGAAGTGATGTTGGCTGCGTCTCCCAGACACCCTGGGCCAAAGGTCGTGAGTTGAGCAGAACATGGGAGGCAGATCTTTTGAGATCTACAGAATTTGCTGATCATTGTATGTAACGGGTAGGGGATTTACCTCCTTTTAGTACTTTAATAGCGCTTCATATTTTCTACCTGCGTATTCACTCCTTTCTTTAAAAGCATTGAGCCAGTCAGTGTTCATATGGACTACCCTTGCCGTAGGATGCTTCTTTCCTCATATGCAGTCCAAATCCCTAAAAACCATCTGCAGCGCCTCACCGCACCTGAGCTGCGTCTGCCATTCTCCACTCATCCCAAGGGTAAACAAAGCCACCAGGGCAGGACTGTGATTTATTTTGAGAAGCCACCCAGGGAGGGGTAAGTTTGGGACTTTTTCCGAAAACCTTGTTTTTTCCGAAAAACCTTGTTTTTCTCTTGTTCTTAGGCCACTTTGGGTATGCTTGTGCATAACAGAGAAAGTAGTTCACTAAGAAACACGGTCAGAAATGCAAAGAAAAAGAACGAAAACCAACCCTGAGCCGCTAGGGTGTGCCACTGGATGGGTGGGCTGGGCTCTGGGAGCATCAGATGAGCCCGGCTGTCCTCACTCCCTGCCGCCCGGCTCCCAGCCCGTCCCCCTGCCCAAAATCCTTTACTTAGAAGCTCCCAGCCTTTAGGAAAAGGGTGGGAGGTTCTAGTTTTCAATGCAGTATAAATCTTGAAAGTTACAAGCTATTGGCAGCTGTGAGATCAGATTCAACACAAACCAGAATTCTCTTCTGCACGAGACCAGTGAGTTAGAATAGATAACTTTAATAATCCATTTTTCTGTCCCCTCTCCTCTTCGTGAGACCAGGAAGATGAGAAGCTGCTCTCTGAAATACCTCCAAGGTATTGCGTTGTGTCCCTCTCCCCCCTGCAGCTCCCTTCCGAGTTTTGCTCAGGCAACCAAGGACATGGAGTAGGGCAGAAACACAGAATGCTTTTGTATAGGCCATCTGTACATAAAAGTGTAATTATTTATTTCATTTCCCATTTGTATCATATTAAAGCTTTGTACAGTGTTTTAAGTTCTGTTTTAAAATTATTTTGTATTTTATTTTTATAATCTAGTAATAAAATATTCATTCCGCATGCAACTCTAGTTCTATTTGTGTGATGGCTTGTATTTCAAAACTGGGAAATATTTTCTAAGTAAAGTTTTATATGCACTGCAGGTTATAAGAGTAGCTTGGAGCAGAAGGTGTTGCTGTAAAGCTCGAAAAAGGGACCAGAAGTGACCTAGAAAAAAGAAGCCATGGGCTGAGGAGAAATAGGTGTTCACTGTCTCTGCCGGTGAAAGCAGAGATGCTTTCCTGCAACGGAATCGACAGTCCTAAAAACACCCTCTTGCTCCCCAAGCGCCCTTTTGCAGGCACTTTGTTCTTTTCCATAGAAAGCGTGACTTTACTGGAGGGACTCCTGCTCCCTTCTTTCCAGAGCTCCTGCGCATACATAAATACAAAATAAGGGAGACTCTGGGAGAGTAGCTCAATGGTTTGATCTCCACCTGGTTCTAAAGAAAGATTAGCTGGGTATGGTGGCAACTCGGGCTGAGGCAGGAGGATTCATGCTAATTTGAGGCCATCCCGGGCTACAGAGTGAGTCTAAGGCCAGTCTACACTGCATAACAAGATCCTGTCTGATGGGGCTGGGGATTTAGCTCAGCGGCAAAGTGCCTGCCTGGCAAGCGCAAGGTCGTGAGTTCGGTTCCCGGTACCGGAGAAAAACCAAAA